AATTGTACAAATCCACAAGACTGTCTGGCCGGGAGCCACACTAGTGGATCCTGAGGGGTGCCTAACACCTTCCCCTTAGGATAATTTCAAGCCCTTACCCTGTCTCGGGTTACCAAACGTAGCTATAAATGAACCCTATAGGTGCCCGAATGTACCTTAAATCGTTAGGTGGAGACTCTTAAAAAATGCAAACCCCTTTCCCAAAAGGTACGAGTTGTCCCAACCCAAATGTCATGAACCCGATTTCGCGAGAAAAAGGGGGCGCTACAACAATTAGGACTTTCAGATAAAAAGAAGATACGGGCTCATATTGACCTCCACACATAAACAACAAATGCACGCAATTGATTGACAGGCTTTATTAATCTTAAAGTCCTATAGGCAAGATATCTATGTAAGGAACAGGCGAGCAGTGATACACAGAAGCAGTCTTATTAATACGAGTGTTAGGACCTATTATTTGCCTACTGATTTTATTTAGTACAGTATCTGGGCGTTTTAGAAAGTACTGCGTCACAATCACAAATCCAGAATTGTTATTAGTCCTATAGGCATATTGTCTAACTGATTGACAGCAACGATTGTATTCAAAACCACTTAGCAAAATCCTATAGGCATGACTTCTATGAGCGTGATGATTGTTACCCTATAAGCAGGATATCTAAGTTCGAACTGGCTTTGATCTTATAGGCATGATATCTAATGTTGAACTGATTTTAACCCTATAGGCTTGATTTCTAGCACTGAATTGACCTTAATCCTATAACATGATTTCTAATTGAATAGCATACGGGCAGAAATTTAGACACATTGCCAGAAAATAGTTCAGTCAAATATTGGTCCTATAGGCATGATTGCTAACACACTTTATTGGACAATTTAACGTATCTTATAGGCAGGATTTCTAACAAAAGTTGTAACATTAATCCTATAGCATGATTTCTAATTGAATAGCATATGGGCAGAAATTTAGATACATTGCTAGAAAATAGTTGAGTCAAATATTAGTCCTATAGGCATGATTGCTAACACACTTTATTGGACATATGAACGTATCCTATAGGCAGGATTTTTAACAAAAGTTGTAATATTAATCCTATAGGCAGGATTTCTAATACAGAACTCATACGATTTTAGTAGAATCAACATCACAAATGAAAATCCTATAGGCAGGATCTCTAAACAACGTAGAACTTAACATTTTTGGACAAAATGAGCAGAATTAACAGCATAGATGAAACCCTATAGGCAGGATTTCTACCCAGTTTAACAAAGGAAATAAGAAACCCTCCCGATTTTACTAAATACACCAGAATTTGATTATTAAAAAGTTATTACAGACCAGATTAGCAAATGAATTACATGATAGTAATGGCACAAACTATAGGGAGCCTTTTATCAGGTCCAAATACACCTGGGCGACCAAGTCTTCAAACCATTTCCACCTCGAGGCTTATTTCACAAGTACATCATAGCCGATAATGAGTAATTCACCCATAGCACGGATAGAATCAGGTTTCCAGTGTGTCAAAGTTTCCAAGGGCCTCAGGGTCCCAAGGCAATGCTCACACCATAACCACATACCCAGAAATAATTCAAAAGAGATTAGGAACCCATTCCCAGTGTGTCAGAGTTCACAAGAGGCTCACATGGGCCCTGAGCAGTGCTCACACTGGGGTGGTTGAGGATAGAAATTAAAGGGCTAAGATTGGGAGTTTCTTTAAAAGAGTAATAGCATATAAAAAGAGGTAGGGACAGATTTAAAATAGTTTGGATTTTCTCAGAAGAAGACTACCATAACAGAATTTTAGAACACAGAACATGTAGGCATAATGGCATTAAGAAAACAAGCAAGGGTGGCAAAGTACACAGTTTCAAACAGGTCAATTCAAAAAAGACCTAATTATTCTAAGTGTGCATGCTAACATTTAGGACAACCTTGTTTAATCACAGAAACATTTAGGCAAAGTGTTAAGGCAAACAGTCAAATTATCACATGAATCCAGAGGGATAAAAGACCTCTTAGCAGGGCACATGAATTAGGTAACAATACAAGTCTGTAAAGTTAGGATTGATGAACTGATTTCATGCAAGTGGTATCCTAAGGATACTAAGTTCAGAATAGGTTTAGGATAGCAAACGGTGTGCATGAGACAAGTTAAAACATTAAGCTAGGTTTCAAGCGGATTCATATTATTATTCAAAATAACCAATTAACAGTATCAATCATGAACTCATAGAAGCATAGAGACAGAATCATGCTCAAAATAAAGTTCAAACATGTTGGTCGAACAACAAAGATTAGGAAGACATAGAAAATAAAATGGTAAAGGATAATGACTTACCAGTTAGGCAGGAAAGCAAGAAAATACACCACAGTAGTTAAGTCCAGAATTAATTGGCCTTGGCTTTCAGCTGGCCAAGTCCATAAACAAACGAGTAAAGAATCTAAGTAAAAAGCTAGGTTTTTTTTAGTGAGAGTACTGAGAGTTCGAGTCTATCGTAAAGGGGAAAAGGGGAGGGGTTTAGTGTAGGAATTAAACACATAAACATGAAAAACCAATTAGTCAAATACTAGAAAGTCAAGTATTTAAATCAGTAAGGAAGCAGGTTTTGAAACCCTAATTTCGGGTAAATCACACAAAATCGGCAGAGAAATAAGGGCACAAAATCATATATTGCACAAGATGAACATAGACAGGAATATTATTCAAGGGGAGGGGAGACACAGAATCGAACCAGGTTTGGTTCGAGTAAAAGCATCTAAAAACCCTAACTAATTTTTAAAATAATAAATTAGTAAGAAATAACTTCAAAAATCATAATAGGGATGCACATAGATAGATTTACGGAAACATTACAGAGAATATTTAACTAAAAATTAGGAAACTGTAACAGATCTTAAAAGATTTGAACCCTAGCCTTAGGGTAAATGAAGAATCGGGAGAATCTCATAGATTCATACCATAAGAGACGAAGAATGAACATAGAAGGAAAGAAAATGAAAGTTCGAACCAGATTCGGTTCAAAGTCAAGGAGATCGGCTTGCCATATTAGGCAAGCTACTAGGTTATACCATAATCGAGTAGCCAGTAGCGAGATGAGACCGATAAGGTAAGAAAATCACCAAGGGATTCCATATCTGGTTGGAATCAAAGGGGGATTGGAGGGGATCAAGGTGACGGTGCCTAGGGTTTGATAGAGAGAGAAGGGGAGGTCGAGAGAGTTCGAGGGCGACAGGTAAAGGGAAATGGGGTTAGGGTTTCTGGGTATGGTTAATTAAAAACAGGCGGAAGGACGTAGGCCGTTGATCTCGAAAGATCAACGGCTGGGATTAAAGGACGAATGGGGCGGGTTAAAATGAAACGGGTACCGATCGGGTTGTAGGATTGGGTTATTGGTTTGGGCTTGGGTTATTGGGTTAGGCATTTTAAGTGTTGGGCTGGGTAATTTGGGTTGGTTTGGGTAGCTTAAGTCCGAAAATTTCAATAATTGGGGCCAGATTTTAAATACCCAATTTATTAAACAAATAATTTTAAAAAAAAATAAATGAATAACAAAAATATCATTTGTGAATAAAATGGTTAATAACAATTATTCAACACTTTAAAAATAAAGTTATGTTTTTTGCATAAATAAAGTAACTATAAGTATATATGGGCTATTATTGCAAAATGTGCAATTTAGCCTTTAAAATGCAGATGTATTTATGATCAATATGTTAAAATATTTAAAAAATATCTGGATGTAAATGATGATATTAGATGAATAAAATCATTATAAAAAATAATTTGTGATGCAATTAATGGTTATTCATACAATAAAATATGGGAATAAATTAATTAAAAAATCTTTAAAAATTATGGAAAATTTAGGAAAACACTTGATGATGCTCATGCAGTATTTTGAAGTATATATGCATATTTAAAATATGTGAGAGAAAAATTGGGTATCAACACACCTGGTTAGAGCCACCAGTCTACCGGTCAACCTCTTTATTTCCTTCACACTTGTTAACTGGTCCGGGATATCCTCGATGGCTTTGATTTTATCAGGGTTTACTTTAATTCTTTTTGAGAGACCAAAACCCCCAAAACTTAGCGGAACCAACTCTGAAGGCGCACTTCTCCGGGTTTAGCTCCATGTTGTATTTTCTCAGAATGTCAAATGTTTCTTGAAGATGTTTCAAATGATCTCTTGTATTAAGAGACTTAACTAGCATGTTGTCAATGTAAACTTCCACTGTCTTACCTATCTATTTTTCAAACATTTTATTACCAAGCATCTAATAAGTGGCTCTGGCATTCTTAAGCCCAAAAGGCATCACATTATAGCAGTATATGTCAAAACTTATGATAAAAGAAGCCTTCTCTTGATCTTCCGGGTTCATCCTAATTTGATTATACCGGGAATAAGCATCAAGAAAACTCATTAACTCATGCCCGACTGTAGCATAAATCATTTGATCGATGTTTGGCAACGGGAAAGAGTTTTTAGGGTGTGCCTTATTTAAATCTTTATAATCTACACACATTCTAAATTTATTATTTTAGGCACTACTACAACGTTATCTAGCCAATCGGGGTAATGTACCTCTCGAATTGAACCTATATTTAGTAACTAGGTTACCTCTTCCCTGACAAACCTGTTTTTGACCTCTTCTATCGGTCGTTTCTTCTACCTATCTAAACTCAGCTTGCGGACAACCACTTCCAATGGAATACCAGTCATATCTGAATGCGACCATGCTAAACAATCAACATTATTGGAAAATCCATAGTTTTTAACCTAATTTCGGGACTCAAACCCGTTCCTAAGTGAAATTTTCTTTCTAAGAACTCCTGGAACAAGGTCACTTGTTCGAGCTCTTATGCGGTTGATTTGGTCGCATCTGTTTCCTTCGGCACCTGAAAAGACCTCGGTACCTGGTAAAATTTCGATGACTCCTCTTCTTTATCATCTTCAATCGTGGTAGAAGAAGACACCAATTTCTGTAATTACTATTTGCTCGTCTCTTTGCCCTTGCTATTGGAAACGATCGCTACGTTTATCTCCCTTACAGGCGTTTGATCTCCTCTGATATGCTTGATCCCTTCTGGTATGGGAAATGTCAACAACTGATGGTATGTTGAAGGTACAACCTTGATTTCATGTATCCATGGCCTTCCAAGGATTACATTATAGCCCATGTCGTCATCTACCACTTCAAACATGGTGGTCTTTGTTACTCCTTCGGCATGCGTGGGCAGCAAAATTTCTCCTCGGGTCGTAGCACTTGCTAAGTTGAACCCAGCTAAAAGCTTTGTCGCCAGAACTATGTTTTCGGTTAACTTCGCTTGCTCCAAAACTCTCCATTATATGATGTTGGCTGAACTTCTTGGATAAACCAAAACACGCTTAATTTTGAAATCTAAAACATTAAGAGAAATTACCAGAGCATCATTGTGCGATAGAAGAATTCCATCGGCATCTTCTTCTGTAAAGGTGATGTCATCTTCTGAGACCTCTTGGATCCTCTTGCCATGAGTTACCATTATCTTTGTTTTCTTTGCTGCCGAAAATGTCACCCCATTTACTTCGTCTCCATCGAAGATCATGTTTATCGTCATATGAGGTGACCCTGCAACCGATTTTGATGGTTCTACAACATCCCGGTTTTTCCCATAGTTGTTCTTAGCCCGGTCACTTAAAAACTCACTGAGGTGACCATTCTTCAACAAAGTTGCTACCTCTTCACGAAGGTGTCGGCAGTCCCCAGTCCTGTGGTTGTGAAATCTATGGAGCTCATACCATAGATTAGGATCCCTCTGGATAGGATCCAACCGGATTGGTTGCGGGAACCTAGTTTTTTTAATATTCCTCATAACCGACACCAGTTCTATCAAGCTGATATTAAAGTTATAGTCGAATAATTTGGGATATGTTGAATCTCGGGACCCCGACGCCTCTTTCTCATACAACGATCTGTTATTTCGACCATGATCTGCCCTTCTATCATAAGCGAACCTATCCCATGACTGAAAGCCTTTATTTCCACGCCCATCAGCCCTCTCGTAAGGTTGAAATCAACTATTAGAGGACCTCCGATTTGCATCAAAATTATTTTTAAATTTATTTCGATTCCGATCGCGATTCTGTCCTTTGGAAGGCACCGAAGAACCCAGTTGATCATCTTCTATTATTGTCTTTGACTTGTAGAGATTATGAACATTTACCCATGTGGTTGCCTGAAATTCTAGCAAGCTTCCCTTCAATTTCTTGGAGGAATCGGAACTCAATGGGTTGAGACCCTTTGTAAATGCCTCCGCTACCCACTCATCTGGTACTGCCAGTAACGACATCCTCTCCTGTTGAAGCCGGATCACGAACTCTCGCAATAGTTCGGATTCTCCATGAGATATTCTAAATATATCCGCCTTCCTTGATTGGACCTTTCTTGCTCCAGCTTGAGCTTTAATAAATGAATCTGAAAGCATTTCAAAAGAATTAATAGAATGCTCAGGTAAAGTAGAATACCAAGTTAAGGCACCCTTCGTCAGGGTTTCGCCAAACTTCTTCAACAAGGCAGATTGATCTCGTGATAGGCCAGGTCATTTCCCTTTACAGCCGTAGTGTAGGTCGTGATATTTTCCTGTGGATCCGAAGTCCCGTCATACTTCGGAATCGACATATTGAATCTTTTCGGAATCAACATTGGCACAGCACCGGGTTGAATGGCAACTGCATGTACTTCTTGGAATCCAGTCCCTTAAGCATCGGCTGCGCTCCCGGGATCAGATTTATCCGAGCATGAAATTATTTAGCATTTTGATCCATTCATTCATTTATTTCCCTCATAAATATCATGAGCTCGATTTGTAAAGGGTCATTTATGTTTTTGATGTTCCCAGATCCACTACTGATACCTCCTGCCTCGTTAAAACCAAACTCTTCTTTGGAGCATCATTACCATTTCTTTGAACAGTTTGATTTGCAGGGACACTTAAAGGAATCTAAGCTCTTCCAAGTTCCATTAGCATTATTGGAAGCACCTGATAACGCCTATTTCAACTTTGTCATCACCTGATCTTGTCTTGAGAGGTGATCCATAATTGCCCTTTGTTGCTCTCTTAAGATTTTGACTGTTTAAAAAATGTGTTCATCATCTGCATAATCAGGAGTTGGACTCCTCACATGTCGAGGATTTTGACTTTTGCGAACTAGAGTTGTTTCATCTCCTTCATTGCGGGTTTCACTGGTTGAATCATCATGTTGGAACACATCTTCACATTCATTGTGAGCTCCAACATATAGGAATTGTTGACATCGTTAATTGCCATATCTAATTTTTGTTTTGCTAAGAAAGGAATCAAAATTCGTTAGTAACAGATGAATGGATCAAAGCAATTACACAATTTTCTATGTCCCACGGTGGGCGCCAAATAATTTACCCGTAAAGCGGTACAGTTGAATTTGTAACGTGATTTATAGACACATGAATTAGTTTGACCTATAAATATGAAATAAATAAGAACAAAAATAAGATTATAAAATAAACATAAAGGAAATACAAGCCTGACTTCGAATTCAGCTTCTCTGGTTGCATAAGCAAGAACAATATTATGAACAAAGTACGGAACATTGTTATAGAATGAGAGCTGATTCAAGTTTTTGAGTACAAAAGGTTTTGTGTCCTACAATGGATACTAATTCTCTTATTTATAGCTTTATTTAGGGAAACAAGATCACCAAATTAAGTCCCTCTTGAATGGGAATATGTGACGACCCGACTGGTCATTTAATGTAATTAAGCCCCGTTTCCCCTTTTGATGTCTCATACATGCGTGTTTATGGTTTTTTAACTTACGGGGTTGATTGGTTTTGTTCCAGGAAGATTCCGGATTGAATTAGACCATTTGATTCTTGGCTTAGAAGCCTAAGTTATTTAAGTTGACCAATGGTTGACTTTTGTGAAAACGATTCCGGAACGGTGTTTTGATGGCTTCGCTAGCTTTGTATCATGATTTTGGACTTGGCCGTATGCCCGGAGTCGAATTCGGTACTCCGTAGGTTAATTTGTGTTGTTTTGCCGCAAATTGGCAATTTGAAGTTTAGAAGTTTGACTGTAGGTTGACTTTTGGATATCGGGTTCGTAATGTGATTTCGTGACTCCAAATATGTTCGTTATGTTATTTAGAACTTTTCTGCAAAATTTGGTATCGTTTGGAGTTGATATGATAGGATTCGGATGCTTAGTTGAAATTCTAGAAGTTCTTGAACTTTACTTTGAATTCATGCATTTTGGTGTCCGATTCGTAGTTCGTATGATATTTTTACACTTGTGTGGATGTTTGGTTTAGAGCCCAGAGGGCTCGGATGAGTTTCGGAATGTTTTGGACTGAAAAGCAAAATCTGGTGTGCTAATTCCTCTAGTGTCACATTTGCGAACACCAGGGTCACAATTGCTACCTTAGCAGGGGGGCTCAGGTGTCGTAATTGCGATACCTGGGCCGCAATTGCGAATAGTTACATGAGGTGGGGTAGTTCGCATTTGCGACAAAAGAGTCTCATTTGTGACCTTCTCCTAGGCTGTTAGTGGATGCATTTGCGAGGATTTCTTCGCAATTGCAAACCCATGTCGCAATTGCGACAACTGCAACTGAACAAAAGGTTAAAAAAGTCGGGATCTGGTGTCATTTCTCTCATTTTAGAACCCTAGACACGGTAGGAGGCAATTTGGAGATGGGATTTTCATCTACAAACATTGGGTAAGTGATTCTAATCAATTTCAAACTACATTTCATGATTATGTCTAACAATTTAACATCAAATTTATGTGAATCAAAGAGGAAAAATTTGGAAATTTTGTCAAATTTTTGAAAAAAGAGAATTTGAGTTTGGAGAGTCGATTTGGACTCGAATTTTGAAACTAATCATATATATGGACTTGTGGGGTTATGGATAGTCAGAATCTACCCTTGGACCCAGGTTTTGACTCGGCGGGCCCCTATTAACTTTTGTTGACTTTTAAGGAAAAGTATAAAGATCATAGCTTTATCTATTGTAATTGTTTTCCCTTGCATTGTTTGATGATATTAAGTCAATTGTGGTTAGATTTTAGCCGTGTGGAGGCGAATTTTAGGGGAAAGTTATTTACGAGTGTTGAGTTAGCCTAGTTGAGGTAAGTATCTTGCCTAACTTTTTGTGGGGCTTAGTAATTGGGATTGATTGTGCTATTTGCGTTTATGTGAAAGCCGTGTATGCAAGGTGACGAGTGGTTACACGGATTATATATGGTATTTGACCGATTAGGTTATTTAGACCCTTTCCATGCCATTAATTGAATTGTCATATCATGTATTATTTCTCATTGTTAATCTACTCATACATATGTTATTCTATCCTTACATGCCTTATTTGACTTTGTTTAATACTTGATCTTTCCCTTACTTGTTGTTTTGCTCTTATATGCCTAGCTGAAGTTATTGCCTTGTTACATTCTTAATTGTTGAATTACTTGAAATTAAAGTTGTTATTTTGTGAAATGCCTTCTTATTGAGTTATTGGTGTTGAAGTTGTGGAAACCATTGTTACATTATGACAAAATTTGTTAAATGTTGAGATATCTTCCTTGTTGAGAAATTTACATTCTTTGTTATTGTTGATGTTATTGTACACATTATGGTTGGGTCATGGGCTATTGTTGTGAAAATATTGTATTGTTGATTCTTGGCAAGTTGTGGCATGGGCACTCGTGGTGCGAGTTGTTATTGTGTTGTGGTATTAATGCGCATGCGGTGGTATAAGGATGGGGGTTAATGTGCATGTGGCAGCATAAGGTGGGATTTATGTGCGTGTTGCTTGTAAGAGAATTACTTGAAGCCACACGGCGCTATAAGGTGGGCTAAAGTGCGTGTAGCTATTTCGAAAAAAATGTTTTCAAAACTATCTAAATATAAGGCTCACGCGGCGGTATAAGAAAGATTGTGATTGAAATTGAGAAATGTGATTACGAGGTGGTACCTCGGTAGTGATTCTTGTTGTATACGAGGCGGTACCTCGGTCGTGATTCTTGTTGTGCATCTCATGTTGAAAAGAGTTATTGGTGGAATAGTCCTAGTTGCTTTTATTTTTCCTTGTCTTATCAGTTTTTGTCTGTATTTGACTATTGTGGTTCTCTTTAGTTGTTTCCTTCTTGTTATCTCTATGCTTACAATCCTATCATTAGTCTACATTATTAACCTATTTCGTTATCATTTATTTCTCTGCTTTCTATTACTTCTCGTTATCATATTTTCTTTTTTTGTTTATTATGTCCTAATAGGCGTCTTAACCTTGCCTCGTCACTACTCTACTATGGTTAGGATTGATACTTACTGGGTACTGTTATGGTGCAATCATACTGTGCTTCTACATATTTTTTTTGTGCAAATCCAGGTACGTCTGCCTTTGCTAGACGTCAGTGATTATTGTAGCTGTTTTCCAGAGACTTTAAGGTATACCTGCTCGGCGTGTGTAGGCCTTGGAGTGATCTTCCGTTATCTTTTCTTTTTGTTGAATTTCTTATTCAGACAATGTTATAGTAGACATTCTAGATTATTCTGTAGAGCTTATGACTTAGTTCCACTAGTTTTGGGAGAAGTGTCTTTGAGATCCTATTTTGGAAAGTTATATGAGTTTATCAATTTTACTTTAGTTTTCCTGTTTGATTATTTCTGTTAAGTTATTATTAAATGTTAGGCTTACCTAATCTTAGAGACTAGGTGTCATAACAGCATCTTAAGGTGGGAAATTGGGGTCGTGACAAGTTGGTATCAGAGCTCTAGGTTCATAGGTGTTACGAGTCATAAGCAGGTTTAGTAGAGTCTTGCGAATCGGTACGGAGACGTCTGTACTTATCTTCGAGAGTCTACAAAACCATTAGGAAAACTCCACTTCATTGATTCTTTATCGTGTGAATTGGTTGACTTCGAAATTTGAGTCTTTGTCTTTCTATTCATAGATGGTAAGGACACGCACTGCTGGATCCGACGATCAGACACTCGTGCCCCCTAATAGAGCCGCGAGACGTCGAGGCCGGAGCCAGGATAGAGGCCGAGGAGGGGCACGTGGTGCAGCTAGAGCACCTGCCCGAGTTGCGATTGAGGAGCCACCAGTAGCTCGAGTTTGGGGCAGGCACCCGAGGCGCCTGTTGCCACCCCCGCACTTCAGGAGACCCTAGCATTGTTCTTGTGCATGTTCGGTACTCTAGCTCGGGCATGGTTGATTCCACTTGCACCAGCCACATCTCAGGCTGGGGGAGGAGCTTAGACTCCCGTGGCCCGTACTCTAGAGCAACGGGTCCATGTTGATCAGGTCGCAAAGGTTATGCCAGCGCAACTTGTTGTTTCAGTTCATCTTGAGGTTAGGGCAGCAGCATTAGAGGAGGAGGAGATTAGACTTGAGAGGTTCAAGAAGTAACATCCTCTTACTTATAGTGGCCTAACTTCAGAGGATGTGCAGGGTTTTCTAGAGAAGTGCCATTGTATTCTCCACACCATGGGTATTTTGGAGGCGAACGGAGTTGCTTTTACTACATTCCAGCTGTCAGGAGCAGCATATAAGTGGTGGCGGGCTTACGAGAAGGGTAGCCCAGCTGATGCAGCTTCACTTACATGGGCTCTATTTTCGGAGATGTTCTTGAGAGAGTTT